CACTCTCTCTTTGAATTTACGGAGCAATCTATATTGAACTTTTGGTTCTTCTATAACAGGACTATACACTTTGTGGCTAATCTGCCACATCTGATGCCTCACAAGGCCTGTTTTTATTGTTTTCATGAGACTACAAAACAAAGGATTTGTCAAGCAGCTGATAAGATAGAATGCATGACGGTGGCATAGTTAAACAATAGGGAACAATGATCCTAGTGCTGATCTATAATATTATCATGTAGTTTCAACCAGTTTATCATTATAGTAGCCCCATTTAAACTGGAGAGAATCAAGTTAATCATGATAAGGTTATTTGTCAGTGATATAAGTGGGACTAATATGAATGTAACGGCGCTTATCACATAGGGTTAAAAAAAAGCCGGCTTACCTTTTCCAGCTTCAATTCTTTTCTGGGATGCAGTTGGGTACTATCATATGTAAATCACCACTGAGTCCACCAGCAAAATATAGCCCAGCTAAACCGCGGCTCCAAGCCGCACTCAGCCGGCCAATTTTTAATGTCGGAAGCTCCTAAATCTAGGTCTGATGCATTGCTTGTGACATCATCATATTACAGTACTTTTATTGTGAACTTGGCTAGGTTGTATAAATTATGGGCCTGTTTAATAAATTTAATTTTAAATAATTTAAACAAAATAAAGAAGCTCCAGTTCAGCAATTTCATTTGAAAGCAGTTAGAGGATCAATCATTTGAAGTTGTAGGCCAAACATAAAGGTATTAATCAATAAATGAAGGTATTAATCAATTAATGGCCCCAACCTACTCATAGTTACAGTGAGTAAGCTCATGTGGTTTTTTTTGTTTGTTTGTTTGTTTTGTTCCAATGAACTTATTATATTTCAGTATTTCCTGGAGATCTAGCCATATACTATGCATATTGTTTCAGAAGTAAGTCCCACAATCATCAATGAGGCTTACTTCCAAATAAGTTTTTACTTGTAGAATGCAACTTTTCCATTCTACATAAGCAAATCATCATACAAAAATATATGTTCCAGACTGAGGGAGGAAACCCCATTTATAGAGGAATCAATACATTTCCCCCAAAAAAGTAGAGCTTCTTATTTAACATGACTCACTTCTCCACCTCTGTTTTAATTAAACACATTTAAAAATATGTACATTATTGTGAAGATGCCTGAGAGGAGCAAAAATACAACATTCATCAGGAAAATGGATGTAATATTTCAATTGTTTTTTCATCCTAGGTTCTGTTGAGCTTTTTTCATATTTTTGGGACATTTTTATGACAGTTGCTAAAAAGTGCTTTGTGGAAAAAATCATGTATGCAGGTAAGTGCATTGCATAACACACAATACTTCATTTATAATGGTGTGTGTGTGTTTGACCGACGATCTGCGTCTGAGCATCAACAGAGGTAGTGTGACCCTGTTGGTGCTCTTAGACCTCTCAGCGGCTTTTGACACGATAGATCACGGCATCCTCTTGGGCTGCCTGAAGGGGTTAGGTATCAGGGGCACTGCTCTCCAGTGGTTCCAGTCCTTCCTCTCGGGTAGGTCTCAGAGGGTGCTGCTCGGGGACAGCAGCTCCAGTAAGAGGGACCTCACCTGTGGGGTCCCTCAGGGGGCTATTTTGTCCCCGATGTTATTTAACATCTATATGAAGCCGCTGGGTAAGATAATAAAGAGTTATGGTGCTGGGTGTTATCGGTACACTGATGACACCCAAATCTATTTCTCCGTGTCTCGTTTGTCAGCCTCAAATTTGTGTCAAAAGCTGTTGAGAGGTCTAATTCTTCTCTCAATGAATGTCTTCGGGTGGTAATGGGCTGGATGAGGAA